TGAGACGGAGTTTCGCTCTTGTTCCGCAGGCTGGAGTGCAATGGTGCAATCTCGGCTCACTGCAACCTCCGCCTCCTGGGTTCAGGCAATTCTCCTGCCTCAGCCTCCTGAGTAGCTGGGATTACAGGCACACGCCACCATGCCCAGCTAATTTTTTGTATTTTTAGTAGAGACGGGGTTTCACCATGTTGACCAGGATGGTCTCGATCTCTTGACCTCGTGATCCACCCGCCTCGGCCTCCCAAAGTGCTGGGATTACAAGCGTGAGCCACCGCGCCCGGCCAACTCCTCTTCTTAAAAAGGACAAGAGATGGGGTGGCGATGGGGAACTGGGGGGTGGGGTAGAATGGAAGGAAGAATAAGACTCCAACGATTCCTCAAATGCCAGCTGTTTATCAAGTTTGATTGTTATGATGAATTTTCCAGAAATAAAAGCTACTGTGCTCCAATAGGTCTACCTGCGAGCAACTGAGATGGGGAGGAATGGGAAGGAGAGGCAACAGCGCTGAGCATAGACTCGAGAAGAGTATGATTCAGGTCTCCATAGACATGTTCTTTGGAATAGCACCAAGGTTGTGTACTGGGCAGGCACTCTTGCCAGTTCCCCAGCCTGTTCTGTCCAATCCTGGCGTCTTGGAGCTGGGGTGGAAGAATTTTCCCTGAAGGAAAGCAGCCAACACCCTGTCCCACCCTTCTCCTTGGGCAACTCTTTGCCAGGCAGGAATCTCTCTCACCAGGGTTTTCTTTTGGCTGTCAGATAGATCACCAGCAGTTATGGGCTTAAACCCCTGTCACCACGCCCCTCCCAGAACCTGGCAGACAGCAGCAGCTGGAGTCTGCAGGACCTCCTTCCTTGAACTTCCAGCCGGGAATGCACTTGAAAAACCCCAGAGCTTCTCCTGTCAGCCGAAGTCCAAAAAAGGCAGCTCCTGGCGTTGGCACATTCAGTGCAGAGTCCAACGTGGAAAGAGGCCTGGATGGGGTGGGTTCAGCTCCCAGGTCCCACCTTTGCGGGGGAAGTTGGGCCCCCTGAATTAGGCTGGGAGATGCTTGGGGCTGATTGCCACGTAAAGGACGGGGGTTGTTTTTTGTTTTCTTTTTTTTTTTTGAGTCAGAGTTTCACTCTTTGCCCAGGCCGGGGTGCAATGGCACGATCTCGGCTCGCAGCAACCTCCACCTCCCGGGTTAAAGCGATTCTCCTGCCTCAGCCTCCCGAGTAGCTGGGATTACAGGCGCCCGCCACTATACGCGGCTACTTTTTTTGTATTTTCAGTAGAGACCTGGTTTCCCCATGCTGGCCAGGCTGGTCTCGAACTCCTGACCTCAAGTGATCCACCGGCCTCAGCCTCCCAAAGAGCTGGGATGACGGGCGTGAGCCACTGCGCCCAGCCCGGGGCGTTGTTTTTAACTTAAGATCAATAATTTTTTAGTATATGTCCCAAAAATTGCATGAGATACGTGTATGCTTAAAATTCGTCGTTTATATGAAATTCAATTTTAACTGGCCGTCTTTTTCTTTGCTAGGTCTGGGATCCGGAGCTTGGCCTGGGGGACTCGGGGTTGCCTCTGCAGCAGGCGAAGAGCAGTAGGTGAGGCGAGTTCCTCCGTCACGGACCCGCTTGGAAGCTCCGCGCGGGCACCTTCACCCCTTCCAGCCGAAGGAAGGATTCTGGAAAGCACGAACGGCGGCCAAAGCCCGAACGAGAGCTAAGGGCCGCATCTCGCCGCAGCCGCGGTGGGAAAGCGTCTTCAGGAGGGAGGAGTCGTGGCCTGGCCTCATTCCCGCTCGCCTGCAGACTCGGCCGCCGCTCGCTGGCTCTTCTCCGCCCCGAACCGCCCACCTGCGGACCCACAGGCACCGGCTGCGCTCAGCAGCTCAGGGAGGATCCTGGTGGCGGCTCGCGGCCCCCGGGCTGTGCAGCGTCGAGTGCGCAGACGCGGCGGGCAGGTGGGCGGGACGTGCGCGCGCGCGCGCCTGAGGCGGCGCGCGGGAAGAGACGGGCTCGCGCTGCCGGGCGTGGGCGTAGGCTCGGGCGTGGTCACTGGCGGAGTTCCAAGTCCGGGCAGAGGAGGGGTCGGCGGCCACGGGCGGGCACGTTTCGACGGGGCGTTGCTGCTGTTCCCCGTGCGGCATGAAGGGGACGGCCGTGACCGTGTTCGAGGTGATGCTGGGAAGGGAGAGAAAGCGGAGGACACTTTCTGAGGAGACGGGCTTTGTGAGGAGACCGCAAAGTTTGGGTAGAGGGGTCGGGCGTTGCCAAAGTGGAGGAAGAAGGTTCGGGAATCGAGGTCCGCCTCCCACCGGGAAACGAGGAAGTAGAAGCAGATGAGGGCTCTCTCTCGCGGGGTACTCTGTGGGGAACGACGTTCTCTCTCCAGCCGACGGCCCTGAAAGCTGCGGCGTTTGCCGAGCACCGGCGGACACCCAGGAGGTGCACGCCGGAGCCCACTGTCTTCCACGCACCGGGTGCTGGGAGGGGACGCGGAAAGAAGGGGAGCAAAGGAGCCAGCCCTGGGGGGAAATCGGGGCGCCAGGACAGAGGCATGGAGGGACCCATCCGTGCAGACTGGGAGCGAGGGAGAGGTGTTTTAAGCCCCGGTGCAGGTGCAGGTTCCTGGGTCCGGAGCAGCCGGACGTGACTGGGCGAGGTTCAGAGGCCACGCCTGTGCTCTGGGAGCTGCTCTGGAAGACGGCACTAGCACCTGGCGCTGGCCACGCCACGTGTGCTCACTCTATCACCCACGTTCACGGCCGGTGCCTGCCTAATGGGATGCTGAGCAGCTGTTTGTGAGGAGTACTGGGCGGTTGACAGAAGCACAGGCTCAGGGCACCCGAGAGAGGGCCCCCGGGCGCTCTGCCTGTTTCTTGTCATCAAAGAAAGCCGCGGGATTCCATTTTACAAATAACAGAACCTAGGGTAGAACCCAGGGCGCTGACTCATAGGCCGGTGTTCTTTTCCCAACTGTGCTGTCATTACCGGTATGGGAATATCTTTTTTTTTTTTTTTTTTTTTTCCTTTTCAGACTGAGTCTCGCTCTGTCGCCCAGGCTGGAGTGCAGTGGTGTGATCCCAGCTCACCACAACCTCCGCCTCCTGGGTTAAGCGATTTTACTGTCTCAGCCCCGCGAGCAGCTGTGATTACAGGCGCACGCCACCACACCTGGCTCGTTTTTGTATTTATAGTAGAGACAGGGGCTTCACCATGTTGGCCAGGCTGGTCTTGAACTCCTGACCTCGAGTGATCTGCCCACCTCTGCCTCCCAAAGTGCTGGGATTACCTGCGTGAGCCACCGTGCCCGGCCCGATATGGGAATATCTTAACAGAGGACGCGTGAAGGAAGAGTTAGACTCCACACTTACCTGGAAGCCATTCTTATTTATTTCTTATTTATTTATTATTTTGTTTAAGAGTAGCCCTATCGCCAGGCTGGAGTGCAGTGGCGCGATCCCAGCTCACTGCAACTTCTGTTTTCCGATTTCTAGCAATTCTTTCGCCTCAGCCTCCCGAGTAGCTGGGACAACAGGCACACACCGCCATGCCCGGCTCATTTTTTGTACTTTGAGTAGAGATGGGGTTTCACCATGTTGGCCGGGATGGTCTCGATCTCTTACCTCGTGATCCACCCGCCTCGGCCTCCCAGAGTGCTGGGATAACGTGAGCCACCGTGGCCGGCCACCATTCTTATTAACTACTAGTACCAATGAGGATCTTAGTTCCCAGATCTTCCTGCCTTTAAAAAGGAAGTAATAATTTTCCTTGTGTTGCCTCCCTATAGAAGTGAGAATCTGTTTGCATGAATAATAATGGGAGTTGGCCGGGCGCGGTGGGTAGCCTGTATTCCCAGCACTTTGGGAGGCTGAGGCAGGCAGATCACTTGAGATCGGGAGTCCAAGACCAGCCTGGCCAACATGATGAAACCCTGTCTGCAAAAAATGCAATAATTAGCAGGCTGGCCGGGCGTGGTGGCTCATGCCTGTAATCCCAGCACTTTGGGAGACTGAGGTGGCTGGATCACCTGAAGTCGAGAGTTCGAGACCAGCCTGACCAATCTGGAGAAACCCCATCTCTACTAAAAATACAAAGTTAGCCGGGTGTGGTGGCATGCGTCTGTAATCCCAACTACTCAGGAGGCTGAGGCAGGAGAATCACTTGAACCTGGGAGGTGTAGGTTGGGGTGAGCCAAGATCGTGCCATTGCACTCTAGCCTGGGCAACAAGAGCGAAACTGTCTCAAAAAAAAAAAAAAAAAATTAGCTGGCTGTGGTGGCGGGCACCTGTGCTTCTAGCTGCCTGGGAGGCTGAGGTGGGAGGATCGCCTGAGCCTGGGAGGTTGAGGCTGCAGTGATCCGTGATCATGCCATCACTGTACTCCAGCCTGGGAGTCAAAGTGAGACCCTGTCCCCTCTCTTTCCCCAAAAATAAAGGAAATATATTTTATTTTCAATTTGTCTCGATTAAATGTTGGTTTTGTTTATTTGAGATGGAGGGTTGCTATGTCGCCCAGGCTGGAGTGCAGCAGCGCGATCTCGGCTCACTGCCATCTCCACCGCTCAGGTTCAAGTGATTCTCCTGCCTCAGCCTCCCCAGTAGCTGGGACTACAGGCACATGCTACCATGCCGGGCTAATTTTTATATTTTTAGTAGAGACAGGGTTTCACCATATTGATCAGGCTGGTCTTAAACTCCTGACCTCAGATGATCCACCTGCCTCAGCCTCCCAAAGTGCTGGGATTACAGGCATGAGCCACTGCACCCAGCCAATTAAATGTTTTATCCAGACATCCTGGAGTCCTGTTCAACTTAAAATATTGTGTGTAGTCTTTACTGCAGTAGAACTTAGAAATAATAACTAATATCTGTTAAGCATTTGCTATATGTCAAGTACTGTGTTAAGCATTTTGCACATATTTTTAATTAAAAAAACTTTTTTTTAGTAGGAGTGGGGGCCTCACTAGGTTGCCCACGCTGTTCTTGAACTCCTGGGCTCAAGCGATCCTCCCACCTGGGCCTCCCAAAGTTCTGGGATTACAGGCATGAGCCACCACATTCAGCCTTGCACGTATTATTTGTTTACTTTCAGCAGCAGCCCTATGTGGTAGTTTTATCCCCATTTTAATAGATGAGGAATCTGTAGTATGGAGAAATTAAGTAACTTGCCCAAGGTCACATGCTAGAATTTGGCACATCAGGAATTCAAATCCAGGTAGAGAGTGCAGTGGCCTGATCAGGGCTCACTTCGGCCTCAACCTTCTAGGCTCAAGAGTCTCCTGCCTCAGCCTCCGCAGTGGCTGAGACTATAGGCACACACTACCTCCCTGTGCTGATTTTTTTTTTTTTGTTAGAGATAAGGTCTTGGTGTGTTGTCCAGGCTGATCTCAAACTGCAGGGCTCAAGCCATCCTCCCACCTCATCCTCCCGAAGTGCGGGATTACAGGCGTAAGCCACCGCACAGGACAGCATTAGCACTTTTAAATAGTATTCTGACCCTCAAAAGTGTTGATTTAATGAAAGATAAAGATGATTCATAACCAGATGTCACTCTTATTCATAGCCTTCGTGTTGGCTTTTATTTGGGGCAGGAAAAAAGAAACAAGAAAAACAAACTCCCACTTAATTTTTCCCTAATTATTGTTTCCAGATGAATATGTTCTGAATAAAGCAATTTATTGTCTCAGTTTGCTGTCTGATTGGGCATCGTGTTGAATTTCAGTGTCTCCTTTCTTATGTCACTCTCCTAGCTGTTTATTTTGTTTAGAGACAATACTCTGAACAAACCTAAATCTGACATTTTAGAAGCAAGAATACAATTTTTTTTTGGGGGGGAATTAGAGTCACTAATTTGACTGAATTGTAGAGCTATTACTGTGATTTCTAAAGACTATGTTTTCTTTGAATTGTGCTCCTTTCAGATTTTGAGATTTTTAATAATTCACTGGAAGTGTGACATAGAAGTATCAAAGGGAGTACTGCTAGAAGGGCAGCTAGTGATTTCCATAGAAGGATTAAATTCCAAGCACCAGGCGAATGCTCTTCATTGCGTAACAACTAGTAAGTAAAGAAATAAAAATTATTGATTTTCTATCTCTTGTCATGGTTTATGTCATAGCCATTTAAAAATTTAAATTAGTCAATCTTTTATGTTATTCCAGGATTGTTTCATAATTATAAAACGAAAATGATTAGTAAGTATCTGGTGGTAGATTTACAAATGTGTCATACAGGAAAGGTGAGTAGAATGACTCTTACCATAGATTATTTTACTGGTTTAAGTTAAAATTGCTCGGAAACAACCTTATTTTTCTCTTGGTTTTAACCTACTTTTTCACAGAAAAATTACATTTCATTGAGTTTTACCTGCTTTTATTTTTCCAAGTCTAAATTTTGGCAGTTGCAAAAAAGAAAAAAAAAAAAGGGAAAAAATGGTGAATGGTGTATACTTAAATAATCATGACCTGTGATTAGTTTGAAAATATCTCTTCCATTTGGCTTTCATGCTTTTATCATTTTTGCCTGTTGTCTTGAGGGAAAGCTGATGCATTGAGCTGCTCTGAAACAATGAATTTTCTTAAACTTGAAGTATTAGCTTGTTTAGTTGTTTTTTTGTGGGCTTTGTGTGTTTGTGGGGGGGTGTGTGTGTGTGTGTAGGTTTATTGAAGGGTACTTTGCAATGTAGTGGAATTGTTCCTTCAGGCTTAGAGAAGTCACTTGGGCACCAAGTTGAAATTGGATAGTAAACTAGGCTTTACAAGACATTTGCTTACCTGAACCTTAATGACCTGTCTTCTCTTTGTGTATTAAAATTAAACATCTTCAAGAGCAGTATGACAGGTTAGTTTGCTCTTTCTCTGCGTGAACTCCTCTCTGACTGGGCAGGGTTCCCACCACTCATGAGAGAAATGTATGAAGACGTGTCTAGGATGATAGCTGGTCTGTGTATGGTTGTTATAGTCTAATCCAGTAAACTGTAACCAGGGTAGCAAGGTTGATTTAATAAAAAGGAAGGGACTTCAGCTGCAATAGTTTTTGGCAAGAAACTCAATTCTGCATTTTGAGCCTAGTGAAATTCTTTAGCCCACCTAGAATGGGGGCATTTCTGTTCTCCTTATTGTCTCTGAGCTTTGTGTAATTATGGTTTTATTTATTTATTTATTTAGAAATGGAGTCTCACTCTGTCGCCCAGACTAGAGTGCAATGACCTGATCTCTGCTCACTGCAACCTCTGCCTCCTGGGTTCAGGCAATTCTCCTGCCTCAGCGTCCTGAGTATCTGCCATTACAGGTGCCTGCCACCATGCCTGGCTAATTTTTTTTTTTTTTTTTTTTTTTTTTGGTATTTTTAGTAGAGAAGAGGTTTTACTATGTTGGCCAGGCTGGTCTCAAACTCCTGAACTCAAGTGATCCACCTGCCTCAGCCTCCCGAAGGGCTGGGATTACAAGCATGAGCTACTGTGCCCAGCCTATGTTTATATATATATTTTTTTTTGGTAGGAAACATGGTGTTACATGCTTGACATAAAACATTACAGAAACATATTGTGGAGAGTGAGACTTACCAAATATCTTACCCCTTGAGACGATTATTAACATTCAGGTTTTTCTGCTGTGTTTTTCTTTTTTCCCCCCATTTGCCAAGGATAATCTATCTTCTAGATTTTTCTATGCATATGCTCATAGTTATTAATATCAATTTTTAAAAGCTAGAACTATACATATGACTGCTGTGTACCAGTACTTTGTGGGCAGCATTTCATGTTAGCATAAGGGATCTATTTTTTTTTTGTAAAAAAAAAAATATGTTTATTTTTAGTTTTTGTAGGTTTTACACATGTATGGCTTTGACTGGGTGTAGTGGCTCATGCCTGTAATTCCAGCACTTTGGGAGTGCAAGGTGGGCAGATCATTTGAGGTCGGGGGTTCAAGACCAGGTGTCCAACATGGGGAAACACTATCTGTACTAAAAATGTAAAAATTAGCAGGGCATGGTGGCACACACTTGTAATCCCAGCTACTCGGGAGGCTGAGGGATGAGAATTGATTGAACCTGGGAGGCAGAGGTTGCAGTGAGCCAAGTTCTCACCACCACACTCTAGCCTGGGTGACAGAGTGAGGCTCCGTCTCAAGCAAAAAACCCCCAACAATACCCTGCACACTTCCCCATCTCCCCTTCCCATCTTTCTCCCTCTCAGAGGCTAATACTTTCAACTCTGTTAATTGATTATTTAATATTTATCTTTGTATCTAAGTAACATGTTTGTTTGTGTTGTATCTTTTTTAAAAAAAAAATAGGGTCTCACTCTGTCACCAGGCTGGAATGCAGTGGCACAATCGTAGCTCACTATAACCTTAAATGCGTGGGCTCAAATGATCCTCCTACCTCAGCCTCCCGAGTAGCTAGGTCTACAGGCATGTGCTACCATGCCCGGTTAATTGTTTTATTTTTGTATTTTTGTAGAGACAGAGTCTCCTGTTATGTTGCCCAGGCTGGCCTCAAACTCCTGGGCTCAAGCAGTCTTCTCACTTTGGCCTCCCAAAGTGCTGGGATTATAGGTGTTAGCCACTGCACCTGGCCAAGATGTTATTTATTTATTTATTTATTTAGAGACAAGATCTTGCTCAGTCACCCGATCTGGACTGCAGTGGTGCAATTACTGTTCACTGCAGCCTTGACCTCCTGAGCTTAGGTGATCCTGCCATCTCAGCCTCTCAAGTAGCCGGGACTACAGGCACGTGCTACCATGCATGACTAATTTTTAAAAAAATAGATATGAGGTCTCTCTATGTTGCCTAGTCTGGTCTTGAACTCCTAGGCTCAAGTGATCCACCCACCTTAGCTTCCCAAAGTGCTGGGATTATAAGCATCAGCCGTTGTGCTCAGCCCTAAATTGTTATATCTTGATTTTCCACCATAGAAGATAATTGCTCTCCTTAATATCTTCATTTCTACCATGCGTCTTATGTAGTTATACTTTTCCAACCATTTAGATGGATATTTACTCATTATGAGCATAAAGTACAGTTTAGCCATATAGAAAACTATGATTACTTTTGTTTATAATTTCCCTTCAGCTAATACTTAATTTATTGTTTGTTTTTATCATCTAGTCAACTCCTAAACTTCCAGCATTTGTCTAAATCTCAGTATATTCCTGTACATCAGATATTATATCAGTTTCATCCTCCTGAAAAACTCTTTTGCAGTGTTTTCTGACCTGCTCTAATTTTGACTTGATGCCTTCTGTATCTGGTGCACAGCTTTCATCTTGGAATGCTCCCTTCATCATTGTTCAGAGTGTTTCTATAGTTTTTCTTTTGCATTGGATTTTGTGCTTCCTGAATCCCTCTTTTTTTTTTTTTTCTTGGCTCACTCCTTGCTTTGATGGATCTCAGACTCCAGTAGCTTCCTTGGAAAGAGTGTTTGGACGGTAAATTTCTTGAGACCTTACATCTCTGAAAACATCTCCACGTATACCTAATTGATAGTTTGGGCATCCAGGATTCTAAGCCAGAATTCATTTTTCCTTCAGAATTTTGATGACATTGCAGCATTATTTTCTAGCTTCAGGTGTTGCTATTGAAAATTCTAAAAATCTTTCTGATTACTCTGTATACGGCTTTTTCTTTTTTCTTCCCCTCTCTGTAAGCTTTTATTTTTCTTTTTATTTTTTTGAGATGAAGTTTCACTCTGTTGCCCAGATTAGAGTGCAGTGGTGCAATCTTGGCTCACTGTAACTTCCGCCTTTTAGGTTCAAGCAATTCTCCTGCCTCACCTCCTGAGTAGCTGGGATTATAGGTGTGCACCACCATGCCCAGCTAATTTTTGTATTTTTAGTAGAGACAGGGTTTCACCATGTTGGCCAGGCTGGTCTTGAACTCTTGACCTCAGGCGATCCACACACCTTAGCCTCCCAAAATGCTGGGATTACAGGCGTGAGCCACTGCACCTGGCCCAAGTGTTTTGTTTTATGCTATTTTTGTCTTGGGGTTACATCCTTCTCTAGGTCTCTAAGTTCTCACCATTCAGCTAAGGATGGGGAAAGAGAGCAAAGCTTATAAATGGAAGATTTTTATGGGGTAGGCTCTGGAATTATGTATATTACTACTGCTCATGTTCTTTTGGTCAGGACATAGTCTTTTATTTTTTAGTATTTTAATGTTTTTTGAGACAGAGTCTCACTCTGTTGCCCAGAGTTTTTTAATTATTAAAAAATATTATTTTGATATTATTTCCCCAAATGTATACCACAGAATGTTTCTATGAGTTATAAGAAAGGAGTTATGTAGTCATCTACATTTGGGAAATGTTAGTTAAAATAAAATGAGTTTTTATTTTTTATTTTTGTTTTTTTGAGATGGAGTCTTACTGTCTGTCGCCCAGGGCGGAGTGCAGCGGCATGATCTTGGCTCACTGCAACCTCTACCTCCCAGGTTCAAGCAATTCTCCTGCCTCAGCCTTCTGAGTAGCTGGGATTACAGGCACACACCACCATGCCTAGCTAATTTTTATATTTTTAGTAGAGACAGGGTTTTACCATGTTGATCAGGCTGGTCTTGAACTCCTGACCTTGTGATCTGCCTGCCTTGGACTCCCAAAGTTCTGGGATTACAGGCATCAGTCGCCGCACCCGACCCTTTTTAATTTTTTTGGAGACAGAGTCTTGCTCTGTTGCCCAGGCTAGAGTGCAGTGGCGCGATCTCGGCTCACTGCAGCCTCCACCTCCCAGGTTCAAGTGATTCTTGTGCCTCACCCTTCCAAGTAGCTGGGATTACAGGTGCCTACCACCACGCCTGGCTAATTATGGGTGAAGAGTGCTTCCACCTGCTCCATACCCTATCCAGCCCTCAGTTTTTAGTTATTCTTCCAATGCTTTTAAACAAAAGCAATAAAATGCTATCCTCCAGTTGCAAAGATAACAGTAGAGACTTATCTATAAAATACATATTTTTAAAGCAAGCATTCCCCAAAATCCTTTATATAGAACAGAAAATTATTATTATTATTATTTTTTTGAGACGGAGTTTTGCTCTTGTTACCCAGGCTGGAGTGCAATGGCGCGATCTCGGCTCACCGCAGCCTCCGCCTCCTGGGTTCAGGCAATTCTCCTGCCTCAGCCTCCTGAGTAGCTGGGATCACAGGCACGCGCCACCATGCCCAGCTAATTTTTTGTATTTTTAGTAGAGACGGGGTTTCACCATGTTGACCAGGATGGTCTCGATCTCTTAACCTCGTGATCCACCCGCCTCGGCCTCCCAAAATGCTGGGATTACAGGCTTGAGCCACCGCGCCCGGCCTGAACAGAAAATTATTAAAAAAAATTTTTTTTTCTGAGATATGGGGTCTTGCTCTGTGTTGCCCAGGCTGGAATGCAGTGGTGCCATCATGGCTCACTGCAACCTCTGCTCCCTGGCCTCAGGTGATCCTCCCACCTCAGCCTCCTGAGTAGCTAGACTACAGGTGTGTGCCACCACGACCAGCTAGTTTTTCTATTTTTTGTAGAGATGGAGTTTTGTGATGTTACCCAGGCTGGTCTTGGATTCCTGGGCCTCCCAAAGTGCTGGGATTACAGGTGTGACCCACCATGTCCCGCCAGAAGATGATCTTAAAAAGGGGGCAGGGGACCAGGCACAGTGGTTTACGCCTGTAATCCCAGCACTTTGGGAGGCCAAGGCGGGTGGATCACGAGGTCAAGAGATCGAGACCATCCTGGTCAACATGGTGAAACCCCGTCTCTACTAAAAATACAAAAAATTAGCTGGGCATGGTGGCGCGTGCCTGTAATCCCAGCGACTCAGGAGGCTGGGGCAGGAGAATTGCCTGAACCCGGGAGGCGGAGGTTGCGGTGAGCCGAGATCGCACCATTGCACTCCAGCCTGGGTAACGAGCGAAACTCCGTCTCAAAAAAAAACAAAAACAAACTTTGTATCTACTAAAAATACAAAAATTAGCCGGGCATGGTGGCACATGTCTATAATCCCAGCTACTCAGGAGGCTGAGGCAGCAGAATCACATGAACCTGAGAGGCAGAGGTTGCAGTGAGCTGAGATTGTGCCACTGCACTCCAGCCTGAGTAACAGAATGAGACTCTGTCTCAGTTAAAAAAAAATAACAGAAAAGACTGTCTTTTGTTAAATGTTCTATGTTGCTTGTGGTTAGGCCTTTTGAAGTGTGTATCATTTATCCAGAATCACCTAAAATCTGGAAATCTAGAGCATTACTATCCAATAGAATGTTTTGTGATGGAAATTTCTCTGTCTCCTATTTAGCAGGCTAGCCATTAATCACATGTGGCTATGGAGCAATTGAAATGTGGTTTAATGTGACTGAGGAACTAAATTTTTTTTGTGTGTGTGATGGAGTTTCACTCTTATTGCCCAGGCTGTATTGCAGTGGTGCAGTCTCGGCTCACTGCAACCTCCGCCTCCCAGGTTCAGTCGATTCTACTGCCTCAGCCTCCCAAGTAGCTGAGATTACAGGCACCTGCCACCACACCTGGCTAATTTTTGTATTTTAGAAGAGATGAGGTTTCACCATGTTGGCCAGTCTGGTCTCGAACTCCTGACCTCAGGTGATCCACCCACCTCGGCCCCTCAAAGTGCTGGGATTACAGGTGTGAGCCACCGTACCTGTCTAGAACTAAATTTTTAATTTAACTAGCCAAATGTAAATAGCCACATGTAGTTTGTGGCTGTGGTACTGGACAGCACAGTTTACAGATTTATCTTGCCTCTCACTCTAGTTCAGTGATTCTCAACCTTTTTTCTCTGCCTGAAAGATGCACATTTTCTGAGGGATAGATATATTTTTATTGGTTCCTATGGCAATGATGCTTAAATTCTGAACTATTAGGTCCTGTTACTCTGGGGAAGGGCATGTTCAATTTGGGGGAAAAAAGCCTCCAGATAGTTCTGATCTTTTTGTCACCTCCTAGGTGCCTGCTTCCTTATTCACTGTCCACCCTGAAGAATTATTGCTCTAAAATTTTTAATATTTATAGTTAGAACTCTAGGTAAGATAAATCTTGCCTGATAGCCTGGTGTTTTCTATTTAAGGGTAAAATTGGTTAAAAGAAGAGCCAAAGTTTTAATCAAATCTTATATTAGGATATGAGTAATTGACATGATATATTCTGATTACTAGCTGCAATTTGAAGTCTTCCCATAATCTTTTTCTGTCAAATAGAGTATCATCCAAAGAGGCAGTCCTGGTGTTGATTGTGGGTGGATGTTGAATATAGGTGAAAAAACTTGGTATTTGGTTATCTCCAAGAAGGTATTCTTCACCAGAATAGTCATTGTAGCACTATAGTATTTCTTTGATTTTTCCATTTTTACTGAACTCATTAGTAGTGGTCACTTTTTTAGTGTTCTGTGTCTGTAAGCAGTTTTATAGAGTCCTATTTTATTCTTTCAATAGAATAATACATTTACTTAATTGTGATATTTCTTTGTATTCTGTTTCTTACAGTTGCTTCTGCAGGAAGCCTTTTTGGTGGCACGGTCCTCAAGAAATTCCTAAAAGGTAAAGATTTACCTAACTGTTATGAGACTGAATCTCTTCTTGACAATTAATTTGATATTTTCTGAAAGAGACTTATAATGAAAGAAAGAGTTGACAGATGTGTAAATAAAAATATAGGACACCCACTTAAATTTGAATTTCAGATAAGTAGTAATTTTTTTAACGTAAGTATGTCTCATTCAGTACTTTATCCTGCATTTTATCTGGCTTCTCTACTGAAAGATGATCTATTAATATAAAACTATATAGGATTGACAAGATACCTAGATCACTGTAGCTTTTCTGTATACTCTCTATACAACTTCAGGCAAAATTTTCCCAGATATAAAATAAAAACTTTAATAGATATTTGTTCTTATCTACTTCAAAGAAAGAATGTGTGGCGAATGCTTTTACTATAAATGATGGGCTAGCAGTAATAATGTTTTCCACATTATATTGCCAAAGTTGGTATGATTTAGGAGTTTTTGCTGACTTTTGTTTTAAGAATTTTTTTTTTTTTTTTGAGACGGAGTTTCGCTCTTGTTACCCAGGCTGGAGTGCAATGGCGCGATCTCGGCTCACCGCAACCTCCGCCTCCTGGGTTCAGGCAATTCTCCTGCCTCAGCCTCCTGAGTAGCTGGGATTACAGGCACGCACCACCATGCCCAGCTAATTTTTTGTATTTTTAGTAGAGACGAGGTTTCACCATGTTGACCAGGTTGGTCTTGATCTCTTGACCTCGTGATCCACCCGCCTTGGCCTCCCAAAGTGCTGGGATTACAGGCGTGAGCCACCGCGCCCGGCCAAACATTTTTTTTTTTTTTTAACTTACGAATACTGTACAAACCAAAGGCTATAACATTTATTTTAAAGAAGTCAAAATTATCTTTGAACTCTTATGCTTTCATTTTTATTTCTTATGGTTGTTTGCTTCATAAGTATCGTCCATTGGCCTATTTTTTCCTAATGAGTTGTTAATTTACAAATTTTGCAAAATAACTTTTTAAAAGAAACCTTCCTAGACTAAATCTGGAATATTAACAGCTTTTTAAAAGCTTACATTTATCCTTGCTTTAAGAAAACATACTGTGGCCAGACTCAGTGGCTCACGCCTATAATCCCAGCACTTTGGGAGGCCAAGGTGAGTGGATCACCTGAGGTCAGGAGTTCAAGACTAGCCTAGTCAACATGATGAAACCCCTTCTCTACTAAAAATACAACAATTATCCAAGTGTGGTGGTGCACGCCTCTAGTCCTAGCCACTCGAGGGGCTGAGGCAGGAGAATCACTTGAAGCCAGGAGGCGGAGGCTGCATTGAGCCAAGATGGTGCCATTGCACTCCAGCCTGGGTGACAGAGTGAGACTCCATCACAAAAAAAAAAAAAGGACAAAGAAAAGAAAACATACTGTGTATTAAAATGACAACAACTGCCAGGCACGGTGGCTCATGCCTGTAATCCCATAATCCCAGCACTTCAGGAGGCTGAGGCAGGTGGATTGCTTGATCCAGTAGAGCTTTTTGAAGTTCAAGACCAGCCTGGCACCATCACGAGACCCCATCTCTACAAAAAAAAAAAAATATTAGCCGGGCATTGTGGTGGTGCACACCTGTAGTCCCAGCTGCTTGGGAGACTGAGGTGGGAAGATTGCTTGAGCCTGGGAGGTCAAGGCTGTAGTAAGCCATGATCATACCACTGCACTCCACCCTGGGCTATAGAGCAAGACTTGGTCACACACACACACACACACACACACACACACACACACACACACAAAAGGGAACAACTAAAAAGCTACATTGGAAAGGTATAATGTTATAAAATAAATGTTTATGAAATGTATTACCATTGTTTTTTAGTGACAAGTTTTCTTCATGCTTTATAAAATGCAAATCAATTAAAAATTTAAATTTATGCGAAAATTTATAGCAACTTAATTATTACTTAAATCAAAGTACCTTTCTCTTTTTTTTTTTAGGAGATAAATCCATTTTATTGTCTTATGTTATACAAAAATGTAGAAACAATAGATGTGTACAGAAAAGTGATAATGAGAGTACAAAACATATAATTTAAATTTGGTGTTTTCCCCCCATAATATTAGGATGATAATCATTTCAAAGCACATGTCTAGCTTCAGAGTAGGATTTGTTCACTGGCCAAAAGCCTGTCATAAAACTGTGGCTTTCAGTGCCTGTCTGCTTTACTGGCTCTTGACAAAACTTTTGAGATCTTCAAGAAAAGTAATGTACTCCTGGTGCTCCAGGGCTGTGCTGAGCTCCACCAACTCATCTGCAAAAGTGTTATCCACCCCTCAGTCTGCAAGGAAATCGGTTAGGTGGTCATATAAGGCCCAGCCCAGGGAATCTGTGTTGACTGTATAATTAGTATCCTTCCATTCAGACTCTCTAGCGGACCGAAAGCTAACTTCCCTGATAGAGGAGATGTCACTCTCAGCTTCCTCTTCTTGTTCAACCTCATCCTCTGGATAATGACAGTACAGCACAAGGGCCTTCTTGCCATCATTCTTTATGACTTCAACCACGAAATTGGGAGTTAATGTCAATTCAGGCTCCTGTTTTTCAACCTTTTGCCCTTTCAAGGGGTCCTTGTCACCATCAAATGTTGGTTGGATGCTGCTGTTTTCCTCTTTTTTTTTTTGTTTTGTTTTGTTTTGTTTCAGGGATGCTGTTGTTAATGTTGAAAGTGACAGTGATTTTTTTCCCCGGAGCACTAATTTAGCTTCTGTGCCATTCAGTTCCAGCTCCCAACCTCCAGACATCTTAGGAGGGTTTTATGCTTCCGGATTTTCCTTTTCTCCTTAATTTAATCACTCAGGAAATCAACAAAAGCTTTGTCTCCTTTGGTGTGGAGTATGCGCAGCTGCAGGAGCAGAGCCTGAAGGCGGCCAGAGGCCTGGCCACTCCTCTTCCTCCTCATCCTCTTCATCTTTCTCATCTTCCTTCTTTTTCTTACTTTTTTCAGTCTTGACAACTCCCTTTTTTGCTGCATCAAGCTTTCCTTTAGCTCGATATGCAGCAATATCCTTTTTGTATTTTTCCTTCAGCTTCACAGCCTTCTTTTCATAAGTCTGCTTGTCATCTGCAGCAGTGTTAGTCCACATTTCTCCCAGTTTCTTCACATCATCACCAATGGACAGGCCAGGAAGTTCTCCTTTGATTTTTGGGCGATACTCGGAACAGAACAGGAAAAAGGCCGAAGGAGGCCTTTTGGGTGCATTGGGATCCTTGAACTTCTTTTTTGTCTTCCCTTTAGGAGTAATACAGATTTTCATTTCTCTCTCATAACAGGCCTTGTCCGCCTTTGCCATAACTTCAAATTTTCCTTTCTTTTTAGCAGACATGGTCTTCCACCTCTCTGAGCACTTCTTAGGAAACTCTGAGAAGTTGACTGAAGCATCTGGGTGCTTCTTCTTATGCTTCTCTTGACAAAAATGCATATGATGACATTTTGCCTCTTGGCTTGCTGGATCTCCTTTGCCCATGTTTAGTTATTTTTCCTCAGTGAGGCACAGAGTTGCCCAGTGCCCATCCGGCTCTCACTTGCCCTGGTGCTGTCTCTATGGAGCTCAATGTACTGCAATGGCTGTGAGAGCGGGAGCCAGACACAGCCTCCTCACTCTCTCTGCTCTGTAACATTACTCCTATTATTATTTTTGAGACAAGGCCTTGCTCTGTCACCCAGGCTGGGGTGCAGTAGTGTGACCATGACTCACTGCAGCCCCAAGCTCCTGGGCTTGAGCCATTCTCCAGCCTCAGCCTCTTGAGTAGCTAGGGCCACATGTCCACAATTTCATGCCCAGTTACTTTTTAAATTTTTTCTAAAGATGGCGTCTCACTTTGTTGCCCTGGCTGGTCCCAAACTCCTGGCTGGTCTCAAACGCTCAAGCAACAGCGTCACAAAGCACTGGGATTACAAATGTGAACCACCATGCCCAGCCAAGATTTTTATTTTAGCTCCAGAACATTCTGTGAGCATTTGGGAAGAATGTTCTCCCTTTAGTATTAATTACAGTGAGGATTTATTGAGCATTTACTATGTATTAGGCCTTGTGCTTGACTTAAAGGGGGTTACAGTAGTGAACAAGATAGATTTGATTTCCCTCTTTATGCCCGTAGTGAAGATATCTTATCCTATTGACTCCTTAAGGCTATGCCTAGAAGAAAGGGAACATCAGCTATTGTCCTGAAGAGTTTGCTCTGATTCTGAGACTTTTGGGAGATCAGAATCCAAGTTCAAGAGTCATGGGCTGACTGCCTCAAAGATACCTAGATGATAAGGTTTTCCTTGCTCTTCTTTTTTGAATTATGTCCTTGGGTTGATGCAAGGAAGGGAAAGATCATTCCCAGTGGCCCTGGCTCGCTCCTGAAATCCCAGCACTGGGAGGCTGAGGTAGGCAGATTGCTTGAGCTTTGGGCAACACAGTGAAACCCCATCTCTACAAAAAATATGAAAATCAGCCTGGTATGTGAAAATCAGCTGGGTGTACCTATGGTCCCAGTTACTAGTGGGCTGAGGCAGGAGATCATCTGAGCCCAGGAGGTCAAGGCTGCAGTGGGCTGTGATTGTGCCACTGCACACCAGCCTGGGTGACAGAGTGAGACCTTGTCTCAAAAAAAAAAAAAAAAAAAAAAAAAGAAGTGAAAATCTGTATAAATAAAAGGGGGTATATTATTAGCACTAGGGAGGAAATAGGAACATTCCCTAAAAAATAAACCCACACTTAATATGCTTATACAAGGAGTGGTCAGGCTACTTGTTTGACTAATATTTGTGAAAGTGCTTTGAAAAAAGTGAAAAGCCATGTAACTACAAGGGAATAGTTTTATTATCATTGTTACTCTTAGGGAGTGGGTATTGAGTTGAGGATCATTTATGGAATAACCACATATTCATGATGCCAGTACAAACTCTAGACAATTTTTGTCATGGTGACTTAGTTTTAATCTGTTATTTAAAAAACTCAAAGCAATTTCTTTTAATCCCTTTTTTTTTTTTTTTTTTTTTGAGACGGAGTTTCACTCATGTTACCCAGGCTGGTGTGCAATGGCGCGATCTCGGCTCACTGCAACCTCTGCCTCCTGGGTTCAGGCAATTCTCCTGCCTCAGCCTCCTGAGTAGCTGGGATTACAGGCACGCACCACCATGCCCAGCTAATGTTTTTTGTATTTTTAGTAGAGACGGGGTTTCACCATGTTGACCAGGATGGTCTCTTGACCTCGTGATCCACCCGCCTTGGCCTCCCAAAGTGCTGGGATTACAGGCTTGAGCCACCGCGCCCGGCCTCTTTTAATCCTTTTTTATGATGATAAAGTGTGAGTGACTAACTCTTCCTATAAAGAGGAAGTACTGCACGTCAAGTACATAATTAAAATCGGATCATTTGCTCATGGTCAATCACATTTAGTAGCCAACTGCAGCCTAAGTCTTCTCTTCAGCTGTTAGGGCTCTTAATACTAACCTCCACTCAATAATGCTATTTATTCATTGTTTGTTTTTTGTTTTTGAGGCCGAGTCTCACTCTTGTTGCCCAGGCTGGAGTGCAGTTGTGCGATCTCAGCTGACTGCAACCTCCGCCTTCTGGGCTCAAGAAATTCTTCTGCTACAGCCTCCCAAATAGCTGGGATTATAGGTGCCTGCCACCACGCCCAGCTAATGTTTGTATTTTTAGTAGAGACAAGGTTTCACCACGTGGGCCAGGCTGGTCTTGAACTCCTGATCTCAGGTGATCTGCCCGCCTTGGCCTCTCAAAGTGCTGGGATTATAGGCGTAAACCACTGTGCCCGGCCTAGTTATTCTTACTAATTAGTAACAAAAATTATTCAGTAAATCTCACAAAGGAAATTGGTGAAGACTAAGTCATGAATCCCGTAACTCCTGGTTTATGCACCATTATGCGTTTTTTTACTGTTATTATTTAGAATTTCTGTAACGCTGTTAAAGTAATAGCAAACTGGGCCAGGTGCAGTGGCTCAAGCCTGTAATCCCAGCACTTTGGGAGGCTGAGGCGGGTGGATCACAAGGTCAAGAGATCGAGACCATCCTGGTCAACATGGTGAAACCCCGTCTCTACTAAAAATACAAAAAATTAGCTGGGCATGGTGGTGCGTGCCTGTAATCCCAGCTACTCAGGAGGCTGAGGCAGGAGAATTGCCTGAACCCAGGAGGTGGAGGTTGCGGTGAGCCGAGATCGCGCCATTGCACACCAGCCTGGGTAACATGAGTGAAACTCCGTCTCAAAAAAAAAAAAAAAAAAAAAAATTAATAGCAAACTACTTTAAATTGGTCCATTTACTGATCTTTACACTGTTTAATTAGCTTCATCAGGGAGTCTTTGGCAGCTGGATTCATTACTCATCAGTTTCCTAGATGCTAAAAAATTATGTATCTATACAAAATTAATATGTCTCTGAATTCAGTTTATGTTGTCTTCATTATTTGGTTCATTTCTCTCAGTGTCTAAAATAAGGTGGTGTGACCCCTCTTTAGGGGAACTGAACTGTTGAGTTCAGTTTTCTTTACTCTTCCATCTGTTCTATTAGGGTTGTATCAAGGTACTTTTTCTCTGGATCTGGAATACTTTGGTTCAGTTCCTGTATAAATTGGCTCATATTTCTGGGTATTTTGTTTATTCTGGATTAATAAACAATAACCAGTATAATCTCCCTATTCACCTATCTCTCTACTGGTTTATTTTCTGTTTTTTCCCCCGTTCTTCTCTGGTCCCTATTTATACTTTTATTCAGTTAACTTTTATTGTAACACCTACCTTGCTACAAAGAAGTCACAGGAAGGAGAGGCAGCTCTGCAAATAAAATGCAGTGTGATTAGTGCTGTAATGGAGCTATAAGTTCAAAGAGCTTCTCTCATAACCCAGAGCATATTCCCCAAAGTTCAGTCACCACTGTGCCTTTCTTCCCTTCATTATTCTGCATCATTATTCTACATTCAACTCAAGACAGCTTTTCTACTTTTGAGACTTTAACATTTCTATGCTGATGAAACTTATTTTTTTCCCTTCTTGATCACTGACATGTCTCCTAAACTCCAGTGGAATAGCTTTGAATGTCAATCAGACTATTCCATTTGAGAGTTCCTCTGAAATACCGTGTGTAACATGCCTAAAATGGGGTTCATTTTCTTGAAATGAACTTACTGTGTAATGTCTGCTTTCCTTTCAGTGATACTGACATTCTTATAATTCTCCAGGGTTAAAAATCTTGGCTTTTATGGTGGGGGAGAAGTTTCTCCTTTTTTGTTTCCCCATTATGGAATTGATTTTCTGTTAACTCTGCCTTTATAATACAGAATTATTGCTTATTAATTTAAACGTAACTTTACATTTTTTCCTTAAAGATTTCTTATTTATTATTAAAGTACCTCATACCAGATTTGAGGCCTTCTGTCGATAGGATAATCTCCTCTACTTTGAAGAATAATGCCCATTAAGATAGATAAATTTTTATGTGTTTGAAAAATTGTCACTGTCATATTAAATGTGTGCTACTAGTCTGCATTGAATACTTATCCACTTAGATACAATTCCATTTAGATATTCATTTATGTGTGTACTTATCCATTTATATAGAACTATTTCTATCATAAGTGTCTATTTAGTGAAATATGATCGTTTCAGTTTGTCCTGCTTGCTCAGGTCTACTTCCTAACATATGCTTATTCAAGTGAGGAAAGGAAAGTAGATGGAGGAATATGAAAAAAAGCCATGTTTATAGATCTCTATTTTGCTGTTTTTTCTTGTTTCTTCTATTAATATTATTTTTATTTTAATCTTTTTAAAATAGCTCCTAATTTCCATGTTTATTGCCATTACTTTATGGGCAATTATTTTAAAAAGATGTGAAAGTGTTTTTCCCAAAATAGAAAATCTACAGTCTTATTTTTTCTTCATAACACCAGATAAGAATATCACTCCTTGTAAACAGGGAGGACTGCTTTGCTGTTGATATATGGTTACATGGTTGTGATAGTTCTGTTTTTGCCTCTTACCTATACGCCACCCTTTTGGTGTCAGGGAGACTTTTTTATTGTTGTTTCATTGTTTTGTTTTTTGGAGACTGGGTCTTGCTCTGTTTTCCAGGGTGAAGTGCAGTGGCATGACCATAGTTCACTACAGCCTTGACCCCTTGGGCTCAAGGGATCTTCCCACTTAGTAACAGCCTTCTGAATAGCTGGGACCACAGGTGTGCACCACCATGCCCAGCTAGTTATTTTATAGATCTGGGATCTCGCCATGTTGCCCAGGCTAGTTTTAAATTCCTGCTCAAGCAATCCTTCCACCTTGGCCTCTCAAAGTGTAAGGATTACAAGTGTGAGCCATCATGCCCAACCTGTTTATTTTCAAGTTTACTTTGTCCTCTTTGTTAATTTATTGGGAAAGAGCAATTGACAGGTTAGAGTGATTGACAGGTCCAGGCTTTCTCAACATTGAGTAAGAAACAGTGGTGAACTATTGAATATCTGACAAAAGTTTTTTTTTTAAGAAAGTCTGAGATTCTTGTATTCAAAGAATTAAAAATCTATTATAATTTTATATCTTACAAAATCAGCAACTCTAAGGTTCAGAATTTATCTAACGCATTTCCCCCCAGGAGCTCGTTTTGTAGACATGATCTCATTCATTCTTGAGGAGCAGTCAGACATTAGTGTTATCATCATCTCTGTTTCAGAGATGAGGAAACTGAGACTTACCTCAGCCTTATATACTAAGAAGGGAAACGTTTGAAGACTTATAGGTCACTGGTTATTCATTAAACTGTGAGAGACTACACTTAATTTTGACCTTTTGATACACTCTAAACAGATTCTTCTTGCCAAATTACCTAACACTTGGTGAGATTTTATAAAGGTTGGTTGAAGATCAAGACAAGCTAAAACAAATAGATTTTTGTCTTTTTTTTTTTTGCTTCTTTAATATTTCTTTACTCTTTTCCTTGTTACATTTTTCTAATTGCATTTGACTATTGAGAACATGTTGAAGATTTGATGTGACAGAAGGGGATGGAAAGGACAGAAGTGGTTTTTTACCAACCCTGACATATTCCTTTTCCTTTTGAACTTGCATAGATAAAACAGGAGGAAAAGGATAGCTCTTATTATTAGAGATCCTGGGAGCTGGCTCATGCTCTGGCTGAGTGGTATATACTTGCTTTTATTCAGCAGTCCATGAGAGCTAACCTGCCTTGTACCTGTCTGGGCTTAAAATACTTGAACTGTTGTAACTCCTCAGTGAGTAATCAGCTGGGCCCTTAATTAATAAACAATGACCAGTGTAGTGTCCCTATTCACCTACTGGGTTACCACACATCTTTCATCATCTTAGCTGGGAACACAAAGAGAGTTGTCTCCTTATAGTGGTATAGAGGAATGAGAAGAGCAGGTATTGTACTTTTTCTTGAGTAG